ACACACACACACACACACACACACACACACACACACACACCTCTGATGCTCACGATGCTCTCAAGTACTGACCAGGGAAGATGGTGGCCCTCTGATGCAGTTCGATGGAGCAAAGTCCCAGCTATGGAGCCCAGGTAAGTCTCCACCTCACTCGCAGGTATGGCTCACCAACCTCCGCACTCTCCTACCTTCTATGCCTCTAACTGCTACTCTAGTTCAGCTCGAACCAAACTGCCTCTGCTCTCCAACAGCACGTCGCCCAAGTGTGCTCCAGCAGACTGAGTGTTGAATGCTGAGGACTGGCCCAGCTATATACCGCTGGGGCTGGCTGGGTGTCCTTCGGTCTGTGATCAGACCGTCTGATCTAATGTCCAATCGATGGCCCTGATCGCAGGCCCAAGTCCTGGTCCTGGATCAGGCCTAAAACGCCCTGCCTGGGTCCCTACTGGGCATCCAGGCCCTACTGCTACTGCTGCAGCAACCTGAGGACTGGACCAGGCGCAAACTGACAACCGCCTGGTCCAGTCCTGGCTAGGACGAACCTGAACATGGCCTACCTTGGCCTGAATCAAAATCCAGTGGTACGAACAGGCATCTGCCTGTTCAAACGAAAAGTCTGAAACGCCACATCTGAGACAGACAAAAATAGAACAGACAAAACTCGGTCCCAAACTCAAAAAAAAAAGAAAAATGCTGAGTAAAAGAAAAGTGAATGGGGCAAAAAGATATGAGCCTAGGCCTAGAAGGTGGCTGTGGCCCACCAAGTTGCCCAGTCACGGGGGCTGCATGGCCTGGGGGCCAAAGAGGTAAATGTTGGGCTTGGAAGGCCCGTGTAGGAGCCCCTGGGATGCTAGACTCTTGAAACAGTCTGTCACAGCCAGTGTGAACTCCCTTGAAACAGTCTGTCACAGCCAGTGTGAACTCCGATGAAACAGTCTGTCACAGCCCCTTGTTGTTGTCCTCGTCTCCCTCTCTGCCTACAGGTCACTAGGCAGTTCACTATGGCGATATGTACAATGACTTCACTAGTTCCCTGCTACAGTGTTCTCTGGTGAAGTTGAATGACAGTGGTCGGGGCCATCACTATGCGGCCATGCTAAGCCTCTACTAGTACCAGTGGCGGGTCTGGAGTGTATTTTCTGGCTGCAACAGACCTACCTTTGTTTCTCGAATATTCAGCTTATGATTGGGCGAAAACCTGCCATTTGCAGAGTTTTCCATCTGGTGTGGGCAAGGGATAGTCGGCTTTGCTTTTCATCACATGTACCTTGAGGGTAGTGGTTGGTGCCCATCTGCGGGTATCAGTTGTCGGGCAGTCAGTCGTTGATGCTCAACCGCAATCAGGGTAAGGTGGGTGATTACTTGCAATATCATCAGTTAGTGGACTCTGCGGACTGTAGAGGGTTCAGCCTCTTGATGAGTCGGTGAAACTCCGATGAAACAGTCTGTCACAACTCCTTGTTTGTTGTGCTCTTCTCCCTTCTGCGGGCAGTTCTGTATGACGATATATTTATAGCAGTATATCTGAGGCTCCAGGCCTCAGCATGCCCCAAACTGGCTGCCTGTAAAAAGAATGGCCGGACTCAGAAAATGACGTCAGCCATAAGTGAAGGCTAGCAGGGGAAATCCCTGAGTCTGAGATGTGCACCAACCTCTGTAACTAGCGCATAGGTCCAGCCTCCAGATAGTTACAGAGCTGGGACCTCGACTCAGCCCAGTGGGCAGTAGGCACTGCCCGCTAGGACCCAAATTGCGGCCTCAGGCAGTGACAAAAAAGGAGGGAGGCCCCCGGAGAGGACACATTCAGGGGGCAGTGGTAGCATTGCGGTAGCACTGGTGCAGCATTTTGTGGCCAATGTGCGCCCGTGCAGAAGGAGGCAGTTGCGCTGGCTGTCGGGCTATCACCTACCATAGCTGGGAAGCCCTGAGCAGGGCAGCAGGGTGGCAAGGTGTGGAGTGGTCACAAAGAGGACGAAGACAGAGGGACCAGTGGGTCTTCCCTGGTGTTGAGGAGGGTGAAACGGTATTCACCAGTTCGCAGTAGCTGATGCAGATCCCAGGGCTCGATCCCTAGTCCCCACCTTACCTGTGTACAGTACCGGTGTCGACCCCGAGAGTTCAACCCGTGACCTGTGTATTTGTAACAGTTGGTAGACTGTCGTAGGGTCCGTAGGCAGCAAGGGTTCGATCTGTAGATCTATAGAGTACAAGTCTTAGAGAGTTCTAGAAGTCGTAGCTGCTACAGTCCTGAAGGGTCAAGGTCGTAGCTGCTACAGTGTTGAAAGGCCAAGTCCACGGCCTTCCGGAAGGTCCTAGCAGTGGCCTTTCGAAGTTGCTCACGTTTAGACTGAGGCAAGTGGGCAAGTGGTGAACCCAACTGCAGTACGTCGACACTGCGACTGCGTTGAGTTCGCAGTGCAAACCCATGCAGTCAGCAGTCCCAGTCCCAGTCAGTCCTAGTCCAGCCAAGCAAGTACTGCACGGGACTGTGTGCACTTCGGGCATGGGAAAGGGCCAGACCAACGAGCTGCAGAAGTATAAATCAAGGGGCAGCGCCCAGTCATTCATTCATTCCTGCGTGAGCCATGTGGAAGCGCTGCCATAAGCGACTTGTGCGAGGTGGTCTGCAGAGAGCCCGAAAACGAAGTGGGCGAGAGAGAAGGAGTTAGCCATAGCGATAGGGTAGTAGCGGCCATAGCCGCCATAGCTGTAGGAAGAGTGCAGTGTGAGTGTGTGAATGTGTGTTCTGAGTATCGCGTGTGGGACATCCAGGCTGATCCTGCGAACAGAGAGTTGTGTGGGCACTGAGACGCCATAGCCATCAAAGTGAACTTGTATCTGATCTGTGTTTTCGGTTACCATATCTCTGAGTTCTGAGTGGGCGCTTGTCGCCAGTTTGCTGCGCACCTGTTTGCATGCACGAGAGTGTGAATGAAAGCGAGTCTGATTGCATTGGTATCGGAGCTGGTACCCGCTGTTCTACGCGCGTCGTTGTGTGTCGCAGGGAGAGTGATGCGCCATAGCCGAAGTGACTGACGAAGAAGAAGTCCGCCATAGCGGACATCGAGGTTGAAGAAGCCGCCGCACGCACCTGCAGAAGACCACGACGAAGAAGAAGACACAGAGAGAGAGAGAGAGAGAGAGAGAGA